TAATTTCTTAACTTTGGTTTCTTTCTTAGCTCTTTTTGTTTTTAGATAGATGTATTTATTATCAGTTCTGATAATATCATAAATGATAATATTAGAATTTGTAGTTCGATAGAAAATATATTTATTTGGATCAAGGTTGTTACTAGACAAAAGTTGTTTCAGATATACATTATAGAAAGTTTTTGATACAGTTTTTATATTAATTCTTTCTTGAGGAAATAGATAACTAAATATGAAAAATAAAATATCAAATGGTAATTTATTCATTTTGATAAAGTTTGGTAAATCAAAATAGTAATTAGAGTATTGTCTTTTTATAAAGAATTTTTATTATAAAAATATCCAAATCATGTAAAAATCATTACGTGTTATTTAGTTACACTTAAATTTTCTCTTAAGGATCGATCACAAATATCTTCATGAGGACTAATTATAAATTTCCTCATGAGGATTCTTCAATAGATCAGCTGATCAATACAGAAAACATCTGAACTAATGGATTATTTTAGTTCAATGAAATTTATATAAATATTCTTGTTGTTTATGTAAAATAATTATAGTAATTATTTAAAATGTTTGTATTTAATCAAGTAATTGATGAAAAAGATGAAATTCTTTATGAATTTTTTGAAAAGAACTTAAACCAACTTCGATATTATCAAGATGCTTTCAAAGATATTGAATATAAAAATGAAATTTCAGTAGTGAAAATGATTAAATTACATATAAAAGAAAAATATATTCCTAATTACAGAATGCAACGTTGTAAATATAAATTTATAAAAGAAAATTTAAATGTTCGAAAGTTAACTAAGTGTTTAAAGATTTTTAAAGAAACTGATGATGATAAATTTATGAAATATTTAGTTGATTTTGTTGAATATTTAGATTTCTTCCTATACGAAGATTATTTGAATCATACAAAATATAGTAGTTTTTAATTTTTATTGAATAAACAATTTCTGAATATATTTATTATTTTTTACATTATATCGAATTGAAAATTTTAAAGCGCACCATTGACAAAGTTTGTGTTCACAATAATTATTAAAATTCTTTGTTAATTTATTGTTAATATCCTTTAATTCTTTGTAAACTTTTAGTTTTTTACAATTTTTAAAAGGACAAACATCTTTAAAGATACCACAATCATTTAAAAAATGTAATTCTTTACATTTTTCACAAGTATCTTTTTCAATATCTTTAATATATTCTTTTTCATGAATGTATAAATAGTTATTCTGAAACTTACAATAGATAACACCATGTTTATTATATAGTTTTTTAACTTTGGTTTCTTTATTCGATCTTTTAGTTTTCAGAAAGATATATTTATTGTCAGTTTGAACAATATTATAAATTAAATTATCAGATTTTATGTTTTTACTTCTTCGATAAAGAATATATTTGTTTGGATCAAGA